GTTGCATCCGTGTGCGTGTTGCCCTTCCTTTCCTTGCGGGAGCTAGGAAGAAGATGAGAAAGACCAGGATTTTCTGTGTTATGTGTTGCTATTAGTTCTCGCTTTTAGTATTTGTTTTTTGATTATTGAATTAAGACTTATTTTTTTTCCTGCTGTTTACCCTGACGAATAAACTGTCTTGATTTGTTCAAATTGTTTCTGCTTTTCATTCTTTGGTATTGGCATGTAGCTAATTTGCTGATACTGTCTTTATATTGAATACAGTATCAAAAATTGCCCTTTGTAGGTATGTTTTCTGTAACAGGGTTACCTGAGGAATGCTTCCTCATCCTGTTCATATTATGGGTAGATGTATGGAGGTGTTGTGGGGTTGGTTGGAATTTTGTTGGCTATGTCTACATTTGTGGTACCCAGTGCCGTACTGAGATGGGTTGGGTGTAGTATTTGTTCCTCCTATTCCAGGTATTCTTGTACTCATGCACTAGTTCAGGCTGTGATGTGGTTTTTCCTCTGCAGGCCTAAATTGAGTTTTTTTTGTTAATCAGTTTCATGCAGCCAAAAACATAAATTGTTTCTTTCTGTTTGATTTTCCTGCTTGCCATTGGCTTATTTTCTCCTCCTATATGGGAAATCCTTCACTTTGAGGTGTGTATTTTGGTGGGTTTTTTTGTTTTTTTTTTAGGCATACTGCTGGTTATGTAGCAGATCTTTTTCTCTTAATCTCGCCATGTCCTTTGTCAAGCAGGCTCAGGGGTAGGTTTTCAGGTTAGTGTGGTTCTCTTTGCTGGTGCTTTATTCTTTTTTTAGAACCTGATTTTCTGCACAGTCTGTGGTAATGTGGTTGTAATCGATGGGGGTGGTGATTTTGTTTCTCTAGAGTTTTGTGGTTTAATTTGGGTGATTATTCTGTGCTATGCAGTTGTTGGCTCACTGCCCCCTTTCTTAGGGGAAGGAGGAGAGACTGGTAGATGGGGGATCATGTAGAACTAGTGAATTCTCTTTAAATACAATTTATTAATGTAGGTGAAAGAAAGGGGGAAAGAGGATATTGGCTATGATATCTACGCATGTAAATTTATGTATAACAAATGATGCCCAAGCAATTGCTTAACCCCCGCTGACTTCTGCCCAGCCAGTCCCAGAGCATCAGTTGCTCTCCTAATGAACTGTCTCCTCTTTTTCAAACTTCCCTCACATATCATGGCGTAGGGTATGGAATTTCGCATTGGCCAGGTTCAGCTCTCTTGATTCTGTCTCCTTTCAGCTCCTTTAGTTGCTCCTAGTGCTCTTATTGTGCTGTAGGAGAAGCTGAGAAAACTAAAACTTCTTGACTCTGTTCAGAACTACTGCATTACAGCTAAAAACACAGATGTGTTATCAACGTTGTACTTTTCCAAAACACAGCATTGAAACAGCCACTTTGAAGAAAAACAACTTACAGTTAAGCCCAGTCATTAGTCTGGAGATATTAAACAGGTATGGCTGGTGAGTCTGTGCTGTGCTGCCTAGAAGTAGTTATAGTGTAAAGTGGCAGTTATTTGTATTACCTTTGAGAATGCAGCCCCTTCTGCAGATTTCAGATGATAGATTAGTTTTTAATTAGTTTTTCTGTTTTTCTTTCTGTTTTTTCTTTTCACTTCATAATTTTCTCTTAATTTTACTTAACTTTTCCAGCTGTGTGAGACACATGAAATGATAATAATAGGTATACAATATTTAGCAGCAGAAAAACAACATACACGTTTCCTTTGTAAAATTGTTTTTTTCAAGAAAGTGTAAGGGTGCATATATTCTCAATATGTTTTAGAGAAGCTTATGTTTCCCATTAATTATTTTGTAACTCAATTTCTTTCAACATCAGATGTAAATGTGAAGGGGCTTTTTGTTTTGGCATTAATGCCTGTCTTTGAGATAAAGCACTGTTTGCTCCTGTGTCAAACTTATCAGCACTAGGGTATGTTTACAGCCATTCTCTTAGGGTTCCCTTCAAAGACCACAAATAAAGTAGATTTTCATATGTGTGAAGAATTGGTTTAGTTCTCTATGATATGTTTGACAAGCACCTCTGAGACATTTTATAGTATGCTACATATAAACCAAACTGTCATTTTCAATTAGAATTTTTTTTAAATCAGAAAAATTCATCAGAGCATCACAATAGAAGATCATTACGTCTTCAATTTTAGAACTTCAGCAGGTTGATATATTGTGATTACTTTTGGTATGTACAGATGTACAAAATTTCTTTTATGTTCCCAGATGTGTAGACTGTAGATCACATTTCCTTTTCTCATTCTTCATTTTCTTCTCACAATGATAAACATTGGCATCACAAGCCAAAGCTCCCCTACGGTGCATAACATCAGAAATTCTTGTCTGGCAGCAATTGCTTTGAAAATTAGTATTCCTGATTACATTAAATTCTCTGTATTTATGATTTTGATTAGCAGCTAGAACTTTTTACACAGAATACTATAAATTAAGAAAAAGTAGATATTCAGTACACAACCAGATGTGATTTTGATTTAGATCAAGACTTCTGCAGCTGCCCTTAGTCATCTTTTCCAAAGTGTTGATAGACGTTACTAGTGCAATGGTATGTTGCAATTGTGGTTAGCTCTGAAACAAAAATTAGATGGAATTTATGTTAATTAAAAGGTAAATTAACTATCATCTGTAGTTTGCATTTATAACATTCGAAGGACTCTTAGAGAAACCAGCACTGAATTTGCAGTTTGAAAAAAAAAAAAAACAAACGAAGAACAGGTTACCATTTACCTTTTTAAATCATTTTCATTATGGAGCTAATGCAGAGTGAGTGAAGTGAGAAGGATTGGAAAATGTTAGTAAGAAGAGCTACCTTACAACACGGATTTTTTTCTCAGCTAAATAGTGACATCAATTAGCTGGATTTGAAAGGCATTTTTAAAACATAATCCTCTTTAATGAAGAAAAATAACAGCAACTGATCAGGCTGTTCCTGGGCACAGCTGAGAGTGCTCAGAGACATCTATATCGGTGGAGGTGACCTACTACTGCTGTTGTTTCTGCTTAAATGCACCATCCATAGCCTCACTGTGCTCGCATCCACTGTCTCTACAGCCATATATTTAAGTGTCAATAAATGTAAATGGGTGCAATTTTTTTCTGTCTGGAGATATTCAGTTCCACACTTTTGCTTCATACACACTTCTATGCCACATGCTATTTTGTCAGACTGCCCCTCTGATGCCATCTGTTGGAACAACATTTCATTAAATACTGGAGAGAAGGTTCAGCCTCCACTGCCATACCACCAATGTACACCCCTGGTGTTGTGAGCTATCATAATAAGATACGAGGCATTATTTATGGAGAAGTGCTCAGAAAATACATGATATAATTAATGTGCATACAGTATCAAAAACTTTTATTTTCTAATGTTTGTAAAGGAAAGCATGGCTGCATATTTCCTGCTGTTCACAGGACTGTATTCAGCCAGTATATCACAATCCATAAAATTATTTGCTGTAACTGGAATCAGTACTTCCTCATGCCTTATTCCCTGAGTTCAGCCCAGACGCTGTAAATGGCACGCTGGTACTTGATTGTTGCTGAAGGGCCGGGCTGTTCAGTGAGGCAGAGCTGCCTCTGTGATGGTGCAGAGCAAGGGATGGGGTGCATTGTCAGCTATCTCAGGCTGCATGAAGCCTGTGGGCCACGGGTTGGACATCTCTGTAGAGGTATGGTACAATTGAATGTGCTTTATTAAAGGCTGTCTCTAGCGTGGGTTTTCAGCCTTTTGTTTTTTTCTCACAGGAGTGCTTTAATTTTGCTGACCTGATGCAGTGTCTGTAAGTGATATATTTCCTCAATAAAACTCAGTGCCTTCTTTTTTTGAAGATGTGACCAAATTTGCTTGGTATATACTGATTGGCATCTTGTGTGAAAATTTTTGAAATCATGGTCTTGCTTCATTTGGCTCTTGTCATTTTCTTCTCTGCTCCTGCCATGTATTGTATTGTCACTGAGGAGAGTTTGATTTGTGCTACTTTTGTTAGTGTTATATGTACCTGTGTGGGAATGGTTGAGTCGTGGCCTGAACCACTGAGCATCTGGGGAAAGGACCGGTCGGCCTTGGGAGCACAGGTGAAGGCAATTCATCTGTGTGACCAGAAGTGGTGGAGCCTTCCTGCACTTTTCTTGACCTCATTTAAGGTCTGACTTGCACTGTTGTAGAATCTCTTTCTGGAGATCCCTCTTCTCTGCTGTTTCCTTCTGTGTTCCTAGATCCTCAGAGATGGGCGAGCAATCTTTTTTTCCTTAGTAATAGCCTATTGCACTGATCCTTTTGCTATTTTACTTCCTATTGCACCAGTACTTTTGTCGTTACCGCACCACTTTCTGAAATGCTTTCAGTGCTGAAGGGAACCTACTTTTAAGGAGGTGATTTTCAAATGGTGCTGAAATCACCTGCTGTTTTGCCAGTATTTATGAGTTTGTGAGCATGCTATGTTCTCTGGTTTTCTCTCCATATATGATGGAATCTGGGATTTGGAGGTATTCACATTACCAATATTGCTTTTCTGTATGAATCTAGGATTCTATAAATATGTGAAGAGCTTAGGTATTTTCTTTTACAGTCTAATTTCTGAGCTATTTCATCATAGTAATCCTATCTCTTTAATACTGCTGAACTTTGTCATACTGTAGAGCTCTTTATTTGCCTTAGGCCTTCTTAATCTTGATAGCATGATCCCCTAGTGCACCTCAGTCTAAAGGTATTTGCACTCTATGTAATATCCCAGAAGAGGTGGTGTGCATTTAAAGTTGTGGAAGGACACTATGCTTTACTCTCCCTCCTTTGTTTTCTCTGCTTTGACACATCCTGTGATAAATTCCACTGATATTAGGATTTCTAAAGGAGCTTGAAATATGTTCTTTGCTGATTTTTTTTGGAAGTATTTTACTATTTAGAAAAAGGTAAGCACGTATTTGACATCTTAAGCTTTGTACCAGAATTTTACACCAAGTTCTTCTCTTTCTGCTGATTGAAGGTGAAACGCATCCAGTTCCACCCACATATAGGCTTTTATTATTTCTTGTTGCACATATAATCTCAGTATGAGATTATGTGGTTGCATATCAGCGCTGGCCTTGGGCTTAGGCAGACAAATCTGCAACAAGAGGCCTGACAGCGAGGGCCCATTTTATCTCATTTCCAGGTTCTTGGTAAAGCTGTCAGGAGAAACTGGAAGATACTAATCTGCAAAGATAAAAATTAGAATAGTGAATTAATTATCAGAACTGTGTAAGTATCGTTATAGTTGTAAAGTTTGTACATTCAGAAACAGAAAACTTATTTGTAATAGAGGAATAAGGCGGTACAGTGACACTGCCTAAGAAAGGGGATTACATATATATGTGTATATATATATACACACAGTACTGAGGTACAGGGAAGATGAGTGTTGTGGAACCTCAGGTAAGCAACTGCTAATTTGAAGTTGGAAGCTGCTCTTCACCCAGTTGAGCAGAGGTTAGAAGAGATGAAGGTCAGCTGAGAATCTTCTGACAAAACATCTCTGCTTGTGAAAGGGTGTGTACTTGTAGTATAGGAATTTTAACCAACAGAGCGAAGTCAGGAAAATTTTACTCACTTGCTTTGTTCCTCTGTGTCTTAACTCTTGTTTAGTACACAATAAAGCTTCAGTAAGATGTCACAAGTCTGTAGAAACTTGCAGTTTCCCTGAGAAATTGTGTTAATGACCCCTTGCTGTCTCATTTTGCACAACTGGCTATCTGTCCCACAAAAGGGACAAAATCATTTCTGGACTTGTAGATTCATTCAGAATACCTTCCAGCTGTATGGGAACTACTGAATCACAGCCTGAATCTCTGATTGATCACCTGAGGTGAGCAATGAGTCAGCCCTGATAGCACAGGTGAAGGCAATTCACCTGTGCTGCAGGAATGGTGGAGCCTGACTCCACCTCTCCTCGATCCATTTAAGAGCTGACTACCACTGGGAAAGGATCTCTTTGGAGATTCCCTCCTCTGGAGTTTTGCAGTGAGCCCAGGATGCAGGTAAGCATTCTATCTATTCTCTTTTTGTTATTATAATTTGCTTTCCAAACTCTCTTGTTTATTTCATAATTATAACATCTTTATATTCACTGATTACACACAGCACAATCAGTTCAGCCCATATTTACAAGAAAGAATACTTGGTCTTATGGTTATGCTATTAGTTATATGTAATTACTTTGACAAAGTGTTTCTGTGTCTGTGAAGACAATTATAAACTTTATTGAAGGGTTCATTTCACTTATAATGGATAACTGAAGAGCCTGCAAGGGGAAAGGACTCTCCTTACCACTGGTCGTACAGAAAAGTTGCCATCTAAGGTAATGGGAAATGTCCTAAAAGACTTTTACATCACACACGTAGCAGATAATAACATGTAATATATTCTTGATTCTATACATTTTTATGGTAAGTATTGGAAATAAATATTACATTCTCTGTTTAGACTTTAGAGAAATCTCTAGTGAATATATTTGAGGATGGTAAAAGAAAAGGACAGAGGGTGTTAAATTGTGATTACCCATCCAGAATTGATGAAATGTATTATCTCTAAACAGTATTGAGTTCAGACTGTATGTTTACCTAGTGATGTAGTTAGTATACAATGGTTCAGCTCTTTGAAAGGGGGATCTGTTTATTGGAAGTAATTGGGATTATTTCCTCTCTTTATGACTCCTCAAAGCCTATCTCAAACAGGAAGGAGAATGGCTGTTTAAAAGGGTGGATAGTGATAGGACAAGGGGGAATGGCTTTAAACTGAGACAGGGGAGGTTTAGATTAGATATTAGGAGGAAGCTCTTCACTCAGAGGGTGGTAACACACAGGAACGGGTTGCCTAAGGAAGCTGTGGATGCCCCATCCCTAGAGGCCTTCAAGGCCAGGCTGGATGTGGCTCTGGGCAGCCTGGTCCGGTGGTTGGTGACCCTGCCCATGGCAGGGGGGTTAAAGTTAGATGATCTTTAATATCCTTTTCAACCCAGGCCATTCTATGATGCTTTTGCTGTGACATTGTGCCAGTCATACTTTGAGTATGTGCTCATGGTGTTTCATACTTTTTCCTCTTTACACTTGAGGAGAGGGAAATCACGCTGTCAGACTTACCAGCTGTTCTTGAAAATTCTATGTGAAATTCAGCAGAATGAAAACGAGTGCATTTTAAAGATCTAAGGAAATAAAGGAAGTTTGCTTAACTCCAAATGTAACTTACTGTTTGTTCCATCTGTGTCTCCAGCTCCATTTCCATTCTCTCTGATTTCAAACTCTTGGTCTTTTTTGAGATTTTTCAGGCATTGGACCCTTTTCTCAAAGTAATTGAGTATGTTGGCCTGCTGTTAACAGAGTAATAAGTCTTGTTACATACCTAGAGACTCAGAATTATTGCTATGGATCTGAATGATATCAACTTTTCCTCTCTTTTAGGATTAGAGATCCCTATACATTCATCCAAATAATTTCTATCAAAAAACATACGGATTGAAACCAATTAATTTTGAGTACAAATACAAGTAAGGTTAAATCATTTTTATGATACTGACTCTGAACTGCTCATCCTTCAGGCACCTGAAGTATACTATAGTTAGTCTGAGAACAATAAGCCCACCCTCACCCATCGCATGTTTCAGTATTACAATATGCAGTGTTTATCAGTATCAGTTTCCATTAGCCTTTTCAACAACTCGGTATTCTAAAGTGAATACTTCAGCTAGAATGACTAATTTAAGTGTTAGTGATTGTTTCTGGACTAGTAATTCTGTGCCCTAAATTGTGTAAGTCCAAAATGCATGCAATTTGGACAGAAGCAATGCTTTTCCTCATGCTGCAGCACTTAGTTTGCTTTTACCTTACTTTTGAGAGGTTTTACTGCTCACCTGTGTTGCACTGCTACCTTTGGGTTGTATGTAAAATGCATATGTGGCAGATTTAGAATAAGGATAAGATGAGGAAGTTTGGGGATATAAAAATAACAAACCAGGCAGAAGACTAGTCTCAATGAGATGAAGATCTTAGCATACTCTTTGGCTGGGAGGTAAGAAGGGAAAAACAACTGATAATGATGTGGAAATAAGGACAAACGAATACTCCTTACATTGTTTTTAGGGCCCTTTGGTTCTGATTGTTCCAGCTTCAAAAGAGAATGAATGAGTGATGTTAGTAATAGTTGGCAAAATTAATTTAATTAACCTGGAATCAGATACTCAAATTTGTAAATAGAAGTGCCAAACTTATGGGGGGGGTGAAAAAAGCTAATATGGTCAAGAAGGTATAAAGAAAAAGAAACTGAGCATTTTTATGTTGCTGTGCACTGCAAAACATTATTTTCATGTATGAAATCAGGTGTCATTTAATGCACGTGGCAAAAAATGTCGAACACTTTGCTACATTAAGTAGGTAGGTTAGAACTGTGAAATTCTGCCAGCTGTCACTTAGATTTCCTTTAGGTACCTCTTATTGGAACTGGGCAGAGCCAGCTTTCCTGTGAGCGACCTTTGGACAATATGGCCTATCAGTCTCAAATTCATCAGGGCCCACTGGAAGAGAAATTTTTTCCTACTTCTATTTTGGAGTTTTCAGGATATCGTGTCATAGAGATAAATGAAAACTGTTACCAACCTCATTGCTGGATGGGTGACTTAATGTCCGACGGATTTCTAAAACATGCAGTACTCCAGAATCATCAGAAACAGCTAGAAATTGCTGCTTTGCTGAAAGGTATTTAACAAAAATGTATAAAAATCTAAATTCCAACAGCAATACATTCTGCTTAAATGTGAAATGTCTCTTCTGATATGGGATCTATCTCTTAATATGGGTAACAGAGAGCTAGAGGGCTTTGTTGGGGTATTTGGTTTATTCTTGACTGCAGCAAAAAGCTTTATTGATCTCCTACTTTCTTAAGTTAAATTCTGAAGATTTATACTTTTTCAAGTTCTTTTCTAATTTAAAAAGGAATTTTCAGTTACTTTATGCCTTACTACTAAATTTAATATACTAAGAATATGATGCATGAGCTTCCCTATACAGTATAATGCTAAACTAGTGGAAGTACCTATTTTTTTTTATATAAGATAATATGCAGCAAGATCAGTGAGCTTTGCAGAAATGGGCCATTTTACAAATATAAAGTAGAGCACAGCTAAGTATCATCACCATCAACTTACGTGAGGCAACCCGAGGGCTGATGCAAGTAATCGCTGATTTAGAGATGTTCTGGCTATGAGATGGCTTGTGAGTTTCCTTCAGTAAGTCCCAAATATCTATATTTCCATCATCTGTGGCAATGTAGAAAACTCCTGGCCTTGTTAAGGACCAATGTCCTGCAGTGTATCTCTGCACTGTGCAGTTTGACTGGAGGATCGGTCCATTCTTAAAATAGTTAGATATTTGAAAACCAAGAGAAGATGCAATGATCAAACAGTAATACCCATTCCCTACTTCAAACTTTCAATCTGTGAACATTCACTATTAAAATTATTCTACTATAAAATAATACAGGTGGCAGACTCGGTACCACCTTCTGCATGTAGAAGTGTGGGGGGTTAAAAACAACCCTGATATCTCCCTTCCAGTCTATGAAGGTTATCTTTCTGCTGTTAAAATCTATGGCTTTGAAATGTGCAGCTAACCTGGGTCCCTATAAAACAGGAACTGTAACAAAAACAAAACAAAAAAACCTCTGTTTTTATGTCTCAGTTATTGAAAGAATTGCATCCTAAGTAAGAATTCTTCAGATCTGCTTAGCACACGTGTTGCTTTTGTTTCTCAGTTTGCCCTGCATCAGAAATAATTTGAGGAGAAGCTGGCTTTTACAAAGATGGTACTAAGGAATGTTGGACATTCTTTCTGCAAGTTGCAAGTTTACAAAGCCATTTCTAGAACAGCTTTTCTGATGTGAAGTTAAAAGGAAAAGCTTTTTCATACTTTATTTCTAAGCTTTCAAGCCTTGAGATTAACAAACAGTTTTGAAAATAGTCTGTGAAGCTGTTATTCTAGTTATCTCATTTATCTTTATTAATTATTTTACTGATGTTTTAAAGTAACTTACTGTAACACCTTCTTTCCAAATGGCAAAATTCCAGCCTCCAACACTGAGAATGATGTCTTTAAAAAATGGAGATCTCTGTACAGTGTTCACAGCTTCTTTGTGGATGGTGTATTTGTTACCTGAAGGAATAAAAAAATACAGCCTGTAACTAGTGCTTTCAGTGGGTATTTCACAATGGGAAATGAATAAAGGGAAATACGGGGTAGTATTCAAAGATACCAGCTTCTCTTGCTTGCAAGGTGTTGGAATTACTGCAAATCTTGTTACCATGAAGCATGACTTCCATTCCAACATGTACACAGTGATGAATGCATTACACTGGAGAGTTTGCTGTTTTGCCATAGCAGCTGAACTGCATGCTACCTTGAGCATGTACTGCTGAATCCAGGTGTCATCAGTGAGATAGACTTATAAGAATAGAGTAGTAAGGATCTTAAAAACACAGAGTAGAGTTGCAAATATTTTAAAATTAGCAGGATATTATGGTTTAAACAGGTATTCAGAAAGTTAAACTTACTAGCTATTTTTTCCTCGTTACTACTGGTCTTCATTTCCCAGTCAGAATAAATGATTTCTCCATCCTGTGATGCCAGAAAAATCATGTAAATGTTAACATAAGGGTTTGATAGTGTACAGCAAAATGGCTTATTTTATTTTAAAACTTCATTATAACCACTATTAAATTTATTCTGGGTAAACTAAAACAGAAATTTGCAACCAAAAAAGCATGAATTTTGAATAACTACCTTTTTTTTAATTGCCAAAACAGCTTCTCTTATCCTGATGTACATAGGCAGCCTTTCTTGTAGAACTGGGTACCCAAGTATTTGGGGAAAAGGTAGCAGAATCAAGAAAAGCAGCTAGAAGACAAATATTCATTTTTATATATATTCAAAAGTGGGAAAAGTGTTTTTGGTGTGTAGGATACGTAGAGGGCTATGAGTAGGTGGGATTTCTTAGTATAAAAAAGTTTTGAAGGAAATTGTAATTTTCACCTGATGTTTGTGGACACACTTTAAAAAAATGACTCTCAATAAGGCAGTATTGTTTGGTTTCTGATGGCAGGTAGATAAGTTCAAGGTATTTTGGAAGTAGTCTTCTAACTATTCTTGAAGTAAGGGTTCAAAGTTTATTAATATGGGCTTCTATTTTTATTTTAAGCACACTGCAAAATGCATTAAAATTGGAGAAAAATTCAGGCTGTCCAGAATGATCCTTTTAGTTAACGCCCAAAGAAAACATGCAAGTGCAATCACTTGTGGAAAATCTATGATTTAATTGTTTGGTCTTTCAGAGATCTTTTGATTATCACTTCCATAGTAACCTATTATTTTAACTTACTTCAGTTCCAACAAAGAAGTTATTGGAGATATTCTCCAGCACATTCATAGTTTTCTTTGAAGAAATGCTCATCTGTGCATACGGGCTTTCTTTGATGTGCACTTGTGATTTGTGTAGAGATTGCTCCTTATCTGGGAAACAATACATCTTTATATTATACACCAAAAGTTACCAAATCAAACAACTCCTTTGTCTGAAGGTGAAAAGAGCCTGCAGGACTATGGCTTTATTGGCAATCTTGCCCTGTTGCTGGGGCTGTGGCTGATAGGAATGCCAGTTCCCTCAGTCAGAACAGAAGCAGCCCAGTTGTTGGGAAGGTGCTGGCTGGTGTGAGTAACCTCTCTGGCAGATGGTTGGTCTCAGGTGGTGTGTCAGCACGCCAGCTTTGGAGAGGGATTGGTAGTATGTCCCTATCACAAAGTAACTATGGATATAGAACAGCTCTCTTTGTATAGTCATAGTTGGTATTTGTGTATTGCACTTCTAGAATCAGTATATTTAAGAAACGTTTCTCTCCAGTTGTGTTCAGCTGTGGACATTTTGTTGCTTATCTTACAGTATGTATATACTGAAATACAAACTTATTAAAAACATCTTTCCTAATAGAGCGTAATAAAAATATTACCTGTGATTTTGTAATGATAATGCTGTTCCTGTAGACTAATTTTGGTGGGACTGCATTTCACATTGTTTTCTTCTCCGCTGTCGCACAGGCTTAACTGTTCAGGAAAAAAAAAAAAAGCATCTGATCATCTAACTTATTTTTTCAGATCTTTGATCTTTTGTACCTGCAAGGCTTCTCTAATTTCTGTTGTAATGGAAGAGGTGTTTTCAGTCTACAGCATGTTTGTAATACTCCAAAAAAGCATTTGCTTCCTCATTTGTAAATACAGAGATGTAAATTCACAGTTCCTCACGTTAACTTTTTCCTGCATGACTTTTGCTGTGTTTCTAACAACAACAAACAGCTCCAGTGGTCATGCTTTTTTAATGTCTGTACCAGCTGCAGCTATTCTGGGCAGAACAGGCCAGCAGGTCTTTTTTTAAAAAAATTTCCCTTATCTTCAGCTCCTTCCCCATCCCCTGCTGCAATTTAAAAGAAAAAAAAATTCCCCCCTCCTCCCCCAAACACAAGAAACCACAAAACCATACACAAATAAAAACAACCAAATGCATCCTATGACTATTTCAATCAGAGTGACTGTTGGGTTGCCAATAATCCTGTTGATTGTGACTGTTTCACAGTTTGGGACACTGAGATAGGCAGAGTGAAAAGGCAGCAGCAATGTATGCTATTACTGCACCTGCTTTTGTAATGCTGCAGTTTTTAAGAAGCAGTCTCTCTGCTGCTTATGAGCTAGCTTCTCAAAGTACATTTTATAGAACGTTCAGAGTAACTTTGAAGTGTTTCATAATTAGGAGTAAATCCATGGGAAAGTTGCAGTTCTAGGGAAAATTTTAAAGGGCTGGGAAGCAGAAGTACAAGTTCCAATGGGGCTCAGGCCATATGTACAGTTTGGCTTTTCTTTTCCATATTTGTTTGTGATACCTTCATGAGAGGTTTCCAGATGAGATCTGGATCATTAGAAGTATCTGAAACTTCAGGGAGCATATTGAAGCTGTTTTCCTCTTTTACTTTCTCAGATGAATGCTTGGTGGGAAGTTTGGTGTCTCGAATATCCCAAAATAGTATTAAGCTGCAAAATAATTGTATGTTACTATTCTCTGTTTTACTTGTAAAGTCAGGTGCAATTTTTCTTGTATTTTACAAATGTTTTTTTTACTCCTTCATCTTCAAACTTTATGTAGCAATAGAACTCTCAAATACAGGCAAATGCTAATTACTTAATCGCTTCTTTTGTAAATGGTGGCTTACATTCGTTTATTCATCATTTAATCAGTTACAACTCTACCAGGGCAGCCAAATAACATCCACAGTTTGCTTATGAAAAGTTACTGGAACTGTCTGGGTGAAATTTTGTTATCTGTGATCAGTATGAATACCTAGGCACTCCATAGTTAAGGAGTGGTTTGAGAGCAGAAATCTACTTCTGGATCAGATCCTGAGATTACTGTGCGACTCTCGTGAGTATAACCTACTGTAGTAGCAGACACATCTTAATACAGCCTGGAAATACAGGAAATGTTCTCTTAGCTAATCTAAGTCAATATTCTGCCTCTGACTATGGTCTCTACTGGAGGCTAAGAAAATTGGACAGCACCCTGTAGCAGATAATGTAGTAATTCATATAAAAACTCATTCCCTGCCACTGTGTGCCTATTTGCTGGCACTGAAGACAACCAGTACTGTTTTCTTGAATTTGTCACATCATCAGGCTTTTCAGCCCTGTAATTGTTCTTACTGTGCTACTCTGGGTATACTTTCCCAGAACTGGCATGGACAGTAATAAGCTGGCTCATCATGGACATCTTGCTTTGCTGACAGGAGTTACAGTGGTACCCATGCTCTTCAAGAACCATGTTACAGTGACTACCCTGCTTTTTGAGTGCATGCTATTAAAGTGGAGCCCCCATTGTGAGAGTAGTTTAAAATGATTTCTTCCATGTGCATTACTAGTATTACAGTTACGGACAGTTGTATTTGCAATCAATCAGTCTTTTAACTTCTTTTTTTGAAGTATGCTCTGATTTTGAGTAGGAAAAATTACTCTATCATAAACAAATCTTGCTCTCATAGTACTGATCTCCTTTTGTAGTAACTAGCAAATACTAGGCATAAACCTTTCTCCATCATAAAAGCTAAACATGAATTTCCACTTTTTGCATTGTTCCCTTGCCCATCTCACACATTTCTTCATAACCTTCATGATTTAATCCCCAAGGAATTCATACTTGATTACTTCTCCAGCTAAGTCTCTGAGCTTAAATATATTTCACAATATTTCTGTGGCCTAAAGATCTTTAACAGCATTTTGCCTGAGATTCTCATAATCTTGGAGGACTCATACATAGGAGACATAATTGTGGTGGTGTGGCTCTCCAGGCCAGTGTATTTGTGTGACCAGTTCTACTTAAGATATAGACAAAATGTACAAGTGTATGTGTGAGGCTGTTCAGTTAATGAGCCCTTAATATCATCACTGCAAAAGGCCTCAATGGTCAAGAACTTGATGTGCCTGATTTCTGTGTGCAGAACTTCAGCTCTGTAGGCCAGGCTGACGGGAATCCAGAGGTGTACCAGTATCATGGGGTGTGCTTCAGGAAGCTTTCCAAAGGAAGTTGGAAGGTATCTCGTAAATTACGTATTGCATATACCTATCAGGGGAGCAGGTTACAAGCTGCACACAAATTCCAGCTCTGTTTTCAAAAGTCTCACCCATCCGGTTGACCTAAAAATAATAACATTTAAAGGGGAGAGGAAAATGAGAGGATGAAAATCATGGCTTAAGTAAATGCTTCAAGATGTAAAATGGTCTTCTAGAATTTAAGTTACTTTAGCTTGGGTAAGGTTTGAAAATCAGAACTTAGGAACTTGCAGTTATAATAACAGTTAAGGAGTTTTACACCTGTACTTCAGGTGAATTGATATCAGCTCTCCCTTGTGAACACCTGAAATTCAACATAATTTAAATACAGAAATCTTATTATAATTCTGTACTAGATTTTGAGTAAAACTATGGATTTTTTTTCCCAGTAATGACAGAATCATATCAGGGTGAGGATATAGAATAGCTGTAAAGCACAATGAACAGAAGTGGCACCTGTTTAATTAACATTTTAAAATGTAGTCAGAAATAGTGAGCTCTGTTATACAAATAATTCAACTTTTTAACATTTTTTCTTGTTTATATAATGATCTCTGAAAACAGCAAAAAGAGGGAAAAAAATAAAACTCACCTCAAAATAATCTGGCAGCCAGTGTATATCTGTTATCCTTTTTTCATGGCTATGGTGTATGGAGGAGGATGTGCAATGTCTCACTAAAATTTGCCCTTTATCACTCTCATCATCCTCCGTAAATAATAGCTAGAAATGTTTAAGAAGAAATATCTTTGTGTTTTTTCAAAATTAAATAGTAAACTTGTCCTAGAAAAAAGATTATATACTGATAATGCTTCTTCGTATATTTCAGAACAGCCTATAAAATTTCACTAAGGTCTAATACAGAACCTTCTGAAAACAGAAAGCCTTGAATCAGGTCTTTGGATATGAAGCTCTGAAAAGAATTCCAACGTGCCTCCAGGGACACACATCCAATTAAGTTGTTAGTTCCTTCTCTGCTTTTATGTCTCTCCCTTCTATAGCTGACTTCCCCTGAAGTCTGCTTTTTGTCTGCCAAGCTATCATTTTTATACCCATGTATTTCCAGAACCATTTTTAGCTTTTAAGAACAAAAGCTATGCATATTTGACAGGCAAGAGTTGAGTAAATGTTGCTGCCTGTTCGTATTGAAGCTGAGGTCTGCACAGAATGCAGTAGAGCTATTAAGCTCCACTAATCAAGTAGAAATGTTGTTGTGACAACAGATTTATTTCACAAACTCAACAGGTTTCTTATCCTACCTAGTTTCTCACTGCAAAGAGCCAGGGTACCTTCAGTCATTTTCCCCTCTAACTTGTATTCTAAGTTTCCCTCTCTTTACCTCAGACATGTCATCATTCTCCAGAAGGCTTAGAACAGAAACGTTATTCATATTAACAACTGTCTTTTTCATTCCAACAGCAACGCTTTTAGCGTTTTGCAGTTTTTCTTCGTATTGAGAAATATCCCACAGTACAACCTACAAGGAGAAAGGAAAATATTATTATTTCATTCTTTTATATTAATACTTATTTTTTTAAAAAACAATTCATGTTTTTCTGGGGAAAAATAAGAAATTTACTGTCTGTACTAGAACTTATGAAGACTTTGAAAAAATTACCTCTTTAATATGATGCCATAAGTTGAACGGCTATACTTATGTCAGCAACAAAAACAGCCTGCACAGTTTGACATATTTTGATTTTTAGCGTATTTTGATGTACTGCAAACAACCATCTTGAAGTAATGGCTCAATTTAGGAATAATCAGAACATAGCAGAATTTCTATAATTCATTTCTCAAGAAAAATATAGGGAACTATAAACGCTCTGTCAGCTGTAAAACTGGAGAGAAAACTTCCCCATTCGTAAAAATGATTAATTCTGTTGTTTGAGTTCTGAATTCTTGAGACTGATATTTTTTGTGACAGTTACTCTAAATGTTGAGTACATTTTTTCCATCTTTTTATACTGTAAGAAAAGACAGAAATATCTAATCTTACTCTTAAACAAGATTAATACCTGTCCACTGAAGCAGCCACCAGCAATAACATTTGGATCACTTGGGCTGAACTGAAAGCAGTAAATGTCATCAAGACACTCTAGTATTAACTGAGAAGAAGGGAAAAAATAGTTAAGAAATGCAGTCACATTTTCTCTTTTTATATGAACATTTGGAGTATGCAATAGTCTTCATTATATACCTGAGGGTGGATAGGGTCAAAAAAGCTCCAGAAAATAATTACTGAGTCGTGTTGTAGCTTAGTTCTCTCTTCTTTGGAGGGCTGTTTTGTTGCTGACTCTGCTATAATCCCTGTTTGAGAGAGAAAGCAAACTTTCTTGGAGACAAATGAAATTCCAACATACCGTTACTTATGGTAAGTGACTTCTTTATCCCTGAGAAACCAATGAAAAAACAAACTTCACATGTATTTATATTTTTGTTATTGCTGATCAGCTTTGGGGAGATTACGTCTATTAAGATTCTGTCAATGTATTATAGAAGCTAAGGATCAGGATAAATCTCTACTTTTTTCCTTCTGCTCCTTAATGGTGCAATACTGAACCTGAAATTATGACAGGCATGCAGTCTTGACCATCCATCATGAAATCAAATATTTTGTAGTTGAATTAATTTCCTATACAGGCAGCAATGCTGGCTCTAAGTATACTGTGCAGTGTAAACAGGCATACTGAATAAGTTGGTTTTTTAAAATAAGTATTACTCTTTAAATCCTTTTTCTTTATGAAAGAGCATATTTTATATCTGTCGTATAATACATATCATTCAAGACTCAATCATTACCATAGATGGTTGGATGCCAACAAATGCAGCTAATGCTTTTGTCCTTGAGATAGTGTAGATCTGTAAATGTTTGGTATGTTTTAAGACAAATGTCTGACTTGCCATCAGGACTGCTCATGTCATCTTCTAGGGCTTTCCAGTCATCAGAAAAAGCATTCATAATTTCATTTTGCTGCAATGCAATTTCCATTCTGTTTTGTGAAAGAACAGTTAACATTTTTCAAGAATCCAGATATGACAACTTAGCAGTAGAGTCACAAAATACACAGCTTTGGTTTTACAAAAAATTTGGATTGCGTTACTGAAAAAAAGAATGAAATCCTCAGTGATGCATCACAAATTCTTCCCCATTCAAAATATGGGAAAGAATTTAAGAAGAATTTAACTCCAGTTCTGTATATATCAAGTACAGTAAAATTGTTTAATACTTGTGGAAAAGTGATGATTAAGTGGGACATGTCCCATGAGGGCTGTAGGACAGCGCCTTTGCTCTTCCGCATTTTTGCAGAAGCTTTTTGCTTGAGTGGGCAGTTTGAAGACTGGCTTTGTAGTTTGTTTGAAGAGATTTATTGCTACCAACTGTAACAGGTTGAAGTTATACTAAGCCACCATTCAAATTAATATTGTATAGATTGAATGTTCATCTTAATAGAAACAAATATCAAGGTAGTATTTGATAATAATAAGCAAGAGAAACTATATAGGTAAAAAATATTCAGTATTTAAACAGACTGATGGTCCATACAGACTAGTTCTGTCTACACACACTTTCATTTTACAGTATTTCATACAGCCTTTCAGATGTATAATGGCAGTAACTTTACCTTAAACATACTGATGTGAGAAATTGTTTCAGCTTCTCAGATGACAGAATCTCTTCTTTCTCTTCATTTGACAGCTGTCTAGGAAAATACTGTGTGGTTGCATTTTTTGGATAGGTCCTAACCAAGCAGAATAAGTTTGAATATGAGCACATACACGTTTATTTTAAAGACAAATCTTAAAGATAGAAACCCATGTCATGTGTAAAATTAAAAGCAAAGTATATTCAGTTTTTCTGGGATGTCTTTGAAAAAGTAAAAGAAGAGCGAACAGCATCCAATTCTGTTCTCTTAATTTATAACTGAGCAAGTCCAGAGGTGTTAATTTGTATAACTTCAGGTGAAATCAGAAACAGTTAATAGCTTAATAAATAAGCTGATAAGTATTTCTCACACTTACCATTGTGTCTGAGTACCAGCTTCTCTTACTTTGGGAACCATTTGCACACCCACGTGTTTTTCAAGCACTTTTATACTGAAAGTTTTGTCTTGGTAGGAAGTACATTCAACGTAACTGTCTTTTACATGGGAAGCATTCCTGTCAGTAAAGCTGATTGGTGCACCAAACTTCCTCTGTCCTTGAGAAAACATGTACTTAATCTGGAAAAAAAAAACATTTCCAAAGTCATCCAAAGAGGAGAGTTTTTGTAGGGTCTGTTCTGTAAACTGGCAGCACTCATGTAATTGTAGAACTAGTTTAACTGATGGTTTCTGTGCTGAATTGGTTATGTTTATAAGCACTCTTTGAAAGTCAACTACATACATAATAGATGACATATTTGTATTTCTGAAAGAAAGAAGTTGTTTTCAGTGAACGTTTTTGATTACTGCTAGCAGGATAAGAGAATTACGTTTTCTAATTCAGGCAATATCTAACTGAACCTTAAAAGGATTGAGGAGAAACTTCTTGTCAAAACACCCCCCAAAATTCACTTTTCTGAAGTGAGTTGTGTGGCCGTTCTAAAAACAGAAGCCATACAACTTTAGGTGGGTTTACACTCCAGATTAAGTTTGCAGGGAGACACCTCTAACACTGAGTTGGACTTCTAGAACCTAAATTTTCAGCCCATGTTTCAAAACTGCAGTTCTGTGGTGAAGTATTTCAGCCTCACTTGCAGTGCATAGGAAGAGAAAAGTGCATGAGGGAGGATCCACAAAAATAAAGATTTTGAGTGAGGAGTCTCCTCAGTGACAACTTGAAAAAGAGGAGGGACATGACTTCTCATCTCTCAAAGAAAGCTACACTTGATTTCAGACAGCAGAGCGGTATTTCTTTGTCTCAGATTCATATTCAAGGTACCTTTTCCCAGCACTTCATGGAGAACTGGAGAGGAATGTGGACTAGCATTTCCATTTTGTTCAAAAGGCCACTGTTAAATCTGGGAATTTTCTACTTAGGAAAAATTAATCATTTTATGTTATGTTGTAGTAGAAAGTAAAATTAAGGGCTCCACACATTCTCCTCTGCCTTCCCCCAGACTGGTAGGCTACAGTGTTAATTCCTCAGTAGCCTTCAGAAATGTGCAAAATAATGGCAGGACAGGAAGAAGGGCTGGTGAGTCAGGGCAGAGATGGGGAAGCTAAAAGACAACTGAGGGGGGCAGGAAGACAATGGTCAAATGTCAAGAATAATGCAATGCTGAGTGCAGATGGAAAACAGCAGGAGGGGGGGTCTGGCACGGAGGTGGTTTTGGTTGCACAGAGATTCATTTCAACTGGGTACATAAGATTCTTCAAATAGCAAAAAATAAAATAAATTCTATTTCCTACTGAGTTATTTAACTGCAGTATTTTCACATGAACCTATCAGCGCTGCTTCAGATCTCATTTGTAGAAAGCCTTGGTGACAAAGCACACTCTGAGAATACTTCTAAGCAGCTCTTGCCATCAAGATAGAATACAGAATACTGGAAACTAAACAAGGTTCTTAGAATGTAATTACAATTATTTGTAATCTGGCTAGTTAGTAAATTGAGCAAAAAGTGGCAGAGATGCTAATAACCAAAGAGGATCAGGACTTCTGTGCATACAGTTTAAGAAGTAAATAAGCCCCGTGCAACCTCGTGTGACCTCGTGTGCTTTGTTTGCAGGACTTAAAGGGAACTGAGTTTTCCTGCAGCACTTCACTTTCATTCATGTTTGGTAGTTTCCCCTCTCTTTTGTTTTTAATGAATTCAATCAAATCAGATTTCAATTTTCTGACTTCCGCTTTTTAAGGAACTTAACATAAATTTGTTTTTATGACACTTGACATAGGTAGATCTGTTAATTTTCACCTTTTTAACACGCTCTTTAACAGATTCTTCTTCAACTTCCTTTTCACTGCCAAGAGAAACCCATGGTTTGGAGACAGGAGGCTTATAAGCACAGACTTCTGGAGTTTCCTCTTTCTCTTCTTCACTGTCCATTTTTTCTGCAGTTTCTGGAGGCTGACATCAAGCAGTGAGAAAATAGTGTTTTTTCACGTTTTGTTATTGAATTCCTAGTTCATATACTTACGTTTCAGATTTCGGTTTTTATTTTGCATTCTTTTGTCTCAGGGCAATGAACCTGGCTATAAAATATCCCTTCATTCAGTGGGGTTATGACCCATTCATCCATTTGTTACAATGGATGTTACATGTTTAAATGCTAAATGTTACATGTTTAAATACTAAAGAGTGTTACATTATAATCAAGTTGTCTTGGAAACCAATCGCTGTTCTAAAGAGAGAATTTATAGTGATTTTCTACAGTAGGCTTTCTTGTGTGGAACTGCAATTTGCCTTTCTATTAATCATTACTTCTGCTGGGAGAGACTCTCCTGTTGAAGAATGGTATGATCTAACAATGCAGTGCACAAGGGGAATTGTATATATATGCAGTTGTCTAAAGCTAAATATATAAAAAAGTATGATTTGAAGAATATATAAAAATACATACTGTGAAAAATAAGTACAATATTTATTTGAAGATATCCAATATATTACAGTTTCTTAAGTGTATGTCTTAATCAAAAACATGGATGTTGGAAGAGAAAATTAACACTTATAAAAATGCAGCAATACTAGCCCTCTGAAGTAGAACACAAATTGTTTTTCTCACTTCCAAAGGTATTTTTACAGCAATATATCTATTTTTCATTATCAGGTTATCCCTCAGAGGAACTTTCTGGCTTGCAAAGCACATCAGATATTAATGAACATGATAGCAATCCTGAAATATTTTTGAGACAAGATTCTGAAATGTTCATAGATAGAATAACGCTGTGGTATTTTTCCCTACCTTCAGAAAGTTTTCTTTCGCTTCCTCAGAAGCAACAAGATAAAAGTTCTGTCCATACTGGAAATTTGCATCAAAAACTATCAGAAGTTCTTCCCCTGGGTATTCCTGTTTCAATTAAAATAATTAGCGGGAGACTGGAGAGAGAGGAAAAATAAAAAGAATCCATAGAAGACATAAGCCTATGGCTGGCAAAGCTCGGACTAACGATGTTGTGTAAAATCAGTATCTTGGTTGATCTATTAATTTTTCTGCTAAGATCACATGCTGATTGAACAGCACAGACAGATTTTATTTTGTAATCAAAATGTGTGGAACAGAACTAATATTTTCACATGCAGAATTAAACAGAAAAACTGTTTCAGTGATTCTCAATGATTAGGCAATGAACTGGGGAAAGTGAAATACGTGCAGCTCTGTCTGTTCACCGAATCAAACCTGGTAACTTTTATGTTACTTTTAGTATATTCCAAATTTAAAGATAGTTTTTAAAAAGTGCACATCGAGCCGTGAGAAACTTCTAGATTGACTGTGACCTATGAGCTTTGGCTATTACAGCATTGGTGTATTTACAGAGTCAAACAAGGACAGACCTTACTATTAAAAGAATATACAGTCTGAGAATATAAAGTATTGAAGTGAGAACAAAATAAGCTACGTACCAGGACAATGTTTTTGACAGGGTGGAAATCTGAAATAGCAGCTCTTGTTTTTAGATCTTGAATGATGTCATCTTTTTTAATAAGCTTGAAACAATTTTCTTCTGTGACATCCTCATCCACTCGGCAATTAAAAATTTCTTGGGTCCTTGTAGTGAAAACTAAGGGAAAGATTTCTGGGTGGCCTATGAAAGAAAGAAAAATCAAATGCTAAAATAACTTAGAGTGTTCTTTAAACATAAATAACTTTGCTGTTTCCTAGCAGACTGTCTTTGAATCTTTCAGCTTAGTTTTTGTTACTTTGGGTGGTGTGGAATACAAATTATGTTACATTTGGCTTATGTTGGAAAAGATTCTACCTAACTTTTTTTTAAAATGAGTATATGTCATTACTAGTATGAGAGATCATTTTTCTCTTGGTCGACAGCCAAGATTGGATGGGGCCCTGGGCAGTCTGGTCTAGCATTAGGTGGAATGGTTGGTGGCCCTGCATGTGGCAGGGGGGTTGGAGATTCATGATCCTTGAGGTCCCTTCCAACTCTGGCAATTCTGTGATTCTGTGACAGCTGGTTATGAACTTTTGTGGAAAGTCATCAGTGGACTAAATAACCCTAATAAGGACACAGCTGTACAGCTTTTATTTAAAACAGCCCTTGAATATATAATCTCTTCTGTATAAAGCAGTGCCACATTAAGCCAGTATTTAATCTAAATATGGCTTCAATACCATCTCAAATAAGGATACTTTTCTGATTTTGTACTTACATGCTTTTCTCATCAGTTCAGAGTGTCACTGGGTATATTTTTGAACTAATAGCTGAGACTGAAACAAGGTCACTAAGATTCAAACCAAATGCAAGGCTTCATTTTCAGGTTTGCTGGAGAATAAGTAGCTGTTGGCTGCTGTGCAGATGACCCCTGTTAGGTTTAGTCGTATCCATGCTGAACAAGATAGCTATTTCTTATCTGAATTCTGACACTGTTATCTTCAGTATTTTTAGAAAGACTGGGTGCAGTTAGGCAACTTGGGGATTGCACTTTGAAAACACTCACAAACTGATGATAATATGCTGCACTTCTTGCTGGCCATATGTACACAACCCTGCTCCTGCACAAACTTCCTTACATAATAAATTGAAGTGATTAAGATCAGCATCGTCTTGGCTAACTGAATCTTCCAATGCTATGAGACTCTTTTCTTCATGAAGACCCCTATACTTCTGAGAAGGCAAGCAGATGTTTATCTTGAATTGTTCAATTTCTTGATAAACCGGAACATTGTAAAGAACTGAAGATGTGTATGTGAGATTTTTATTTCCTCCTAAAATGGGCTTATCTACTAATATGGGCTGACTTCTGTGATAAGTCCTGGTATTTTCAATCTTCTGAGTTTCATTTCATTTCCTTTCTTTGAAATACTTACTATGTTACTTCAATTCCCAGTACTTAGATGTTTTTTTCTTTTTGTTTGTTTATTTTTTTCTTCTGTGTGCCTTAAATTGGAGTTGGTGTCTATTCTAAAGTGACTGTGTTGATCAGCAGCCTCAGCATGCTCTGAGAAGCTGTCTCTAATATATGCCAATAAGGACTGATAAAATTATAAATCCTGTATGTCTGTCAGCTGGGAAACATAAATCTCTGCATTAGCCTATCTTATAATGTTTGTTCAATCTGACATTTATCCTTCAAACTCTTTCAGTGCTGCTCTGTGCCTGTTCTTCTATAAGCATCCATGACAATAAACTAACTGACATGTCTGGTATACCCTGCATATACCAGGTATGATTTCTGTGGCATTCACTATTCTGTAGTGCTCACCATAGGCATGTACAGTCCACTAGTTCACTTTCGTAACAATCATAGTCAATATTGTAGTTTCCCTCTCAATATCTTAGAGATTTCCAAGATGGCAGTGAAAATGCTTCCAAAAATCACAGAATTATAAGCAAGTTGCTTGGGAAAGACCTCTGGAGGTTATCACCATGAGTAACACCAGACCAAGTCAGCTCTCTGACTACTCTCTGTAGCTCATGAGGCCAAGACCTAGATTCTTCCTTTGCTTGTCAATTTGTCTGTGAGAATGGACAGGGGAAAAAAAATTGCTTATTCCAGGGTGATTGGAAAGATTTAATCCTAAGAAACAGCAAAAGTTGGTTATGAGAAATGGCAGAACAGGGCTGATAGTCCAAGTGGTATTTTTTTCAGTGCTCAAGTGCCATAGGTCCAAGTTAAAAGGAAAGTAATAATCACATTTGAAATTTATTAGTTTAAAGTACTATTATTCTATATTATAGAATTGTATCTTACAGCATTCTATGTTGTAGGTAGGACCTATGTTATAGATTCTTGGATCTGTATATAAATATATATTATAGATTCATAGGGCTGCTATTGAAATTCTTATGAGTACGAACATTTTTAGAGTGCTGCATTCTAGTTTAAAAAAAAAAAAAAAATGGACCATCTAAAAAGAGACTTTGTATTGTGTTCCAGTATTAAATTATATTCATGTAATCCGTGAAAATCTATAGCTCTATCAGCACTTCACAAAGGGCAAGAAATTCCAATAGAAGTAAAGAACATTAGTAAGCCTTATACGAAGGAGAGACCACACAGTCAGTGTAAAGCCTGCAGACAGCGACGATATGGCAGTATTTCTTGCTTCCAGCAGCAGGTTAGATACTGCGGATCTAACCTGACTTGCCACCAGGTGGAGTTAAAATTCTTTCCTAATGACAAAATTCAGTATTTCAAGGAACGTAATGTTCAGCACTTTAAAAGTAACGCTTTCATTATCTGGTAAATCTCTTGCTGTCCATTTTCATTAATTACCAATTTTCCTGAAGCCAATCAGAGCACAAATCAGACTTTCATGCATGCTTCTAGAGGATTATATAGGAAAGCAGGTGATGTATGATGTCTTTAAAAATTACCTGATTTTTTGTATTCCTAGTTTTGCCCATTATGTCTTAACTTTTAGCTATAAAAGCTGTATTGTTACAAACTAATTGAGAAAATAACCCTTTGGGCTTATTCTGTAAACCATAAATCTTACATAGATGGCAATTTAAGTTATATCCAATAAAGAACCACACAAATCTGGTCATAAGAGCAGTCTAACTGGAGATGTGAAAAGATATTAAAAGATTATTTCCTGTTATAAATAAAATATGAAATGACACTTTTTTTTTTTTAAAATCTGGTTTATATTTTAACTGATAACTATGGCTGCCCTTAAAACTGAACAAATCTGCATTTTTCTTGCTCAGAACCCAAGGAAAGCACTTAGTACCTTGTGATTTGTAAGTGGCAGATGGTATTTTGTTCTATTAAGCAAAAGACATTAGTCAAAGTCAGTGGAGATCTATGGTTAAAAACAAAGATGGTCTGCTAAAATCATCTCCTCAGTGGATTTGATTAAATAAAAAAGTAATGAAAAAAAATGTCAAGCTTTCTTCCGGTTGTGTAGCTATTATGAAATGCAAACTTTTTTTTTTTAATCCAGTAATTCTGTTGTAATGCTCTTTGTTTCTCCTGATCCCTGCTCCTCTCAGCCCAAGATAAAAACAAAGCTGTATCTATTTCAGCTTTCCTGCTGCGCAGCCTGCTGTGAGTGGTACCATCTGTAATCACCACTGTAACAGATGTACCTAGTTTCTAGTTTTCCTATTCATATCTTTTTTTTTTTTTCCTTTTTGTTCCATGACATTATTAGTATGGAAGCTTCAAAATGACTAAAATATTCCAAAACAATTGCTTTACAGCCCGGTCATCATAGCACTTACCTATGCCAACCATAGAAAGATCAACTTCATCTTTTTTCTCTGAAATATAACAAGATGTTATGAGAATTTGTTTCCCTAATGAAGCAACTATGAACATACATTTCCTTCCTTGTTAAGGCGATGTTTAAAATTTTTATATACATTTAAAATTAAAGCGCAAAGAGGAAATACAAAATAAATTCCACACAGCTCAAACTCAACACAAGAAATGAGGGAAGCCCTTTAAAATAGGTCTGTATCTTAGGGAGCCATTAGCATTTTTTTGAGACTTTGGAGATTTAAAGCTTGCTTTTATTTTGAGCAGGTGCTCTGCACTGGAGAGAAGCCATAAGGAATTTGTGTACACTGCAAGATTCTGTGCATTAAAAAACTTCCCTTACAATTACCTGCTCACACGTCCTTGGGACAATTATGTAAACATATGTTTACATAATTTGTGGACATACACATTACAATATGTGGACATAATGTAAATTATGTGCAGAGGTGAAAAAAGAACAAAGCTTACTGATGTTGTACAGTAGAAGAGCTGACAGGTGTGTGGGTAGACCAGATTATTACATTCTTCATATCTGCAATACTTTACGCACCAGGCTGTTTCTGTT